AATTTATAGTAAAGCCAATATGCATTTAATAAGGCTGATCTTAACTACATGTTAAGTTATAATTTAAAGAAAAGCAAAAGATGGTTTTAGACCCCTATTTGACACTACAAAATCCTTTATCATGAATTGAATTGAACCAATTTCATGTTTTAAATTTCATTTTTCTTCATTCTGACTTTAGTAAGTGAATCCTACTTGAAGAGTCCTATCCAATAAATAAGAGTCAAAGATATTAAATCCAAATGGGAATTTAACAATCTTTCCAGAACAACTCCGGGAAACAAGGTAAATAGCAAAACTTTGAATAGTTGGATCTGTTTGTTTATTTTTGTGAATAAAGGCAGCAAAAATCCTGCTGTGTTTGTAACCATGAAATAACACAATTTAAGCCATCTCGCATTTAATTCCACAGCCGGTTCCTGTCTTCTGTATGACCACCCCTGACTGGCTTATAGGTATACAGTACTGGGCATTTAAATGTATATTTTTGGCATTATCATTCATTTATTATTAAACCTACAAATACTAAATGCCAGATACTGCATCGGGAAACAAAACAAATAGCCCTGCAACATGCAGCATACGACTGTCTTGGAGAGGAAAGAAAATATTTTCAGATTTACTTAAGTTACACTTCTGATCAATGATTCCAAGGATAAACCCTAAAGAGAACAGAAAATATCTACCCAGTGTGAAGTTTGGAAAAGGTGTCCTTGTGAAAGTGATATTTAAGCTCAGGCCATAAGGAGGACTAGAAATCAGCCAGGAAAAATGGAGAAAGGAGCATGAGTAAAAGCAGGAGGAAGCCAGCAAGGCGGCTACTGAATAGTAGGGAGCAAGAATAATCTGAAATGGAAATAAGGAGTAAATCTGGGCAACCACTTGGGATCTTCAAAGTCAACTAAGAATGCTGGGTAGGGCGTTCCTGATGGCTCAGGGTTAGAGTCTCAGCACTATCAATCTATCAGCAGTCACTGTGGCATGAGTCTGATCCCCAACCAGGGAGCTGACCCACATGGCGCAGCAGACAGCTCCTGTTTCCCGCTGCTCCCCTCAGCAGTGTGTTTCAGTAGATCTGCGTGTTCTGTTCCCCACTCTGTGTCTGTTGAATCCCCTCACCCCCCGCACCTCGGCTTACACCCCAGTTCTTATATACAAATTAAATTTTTAAAAAATCTTCAAAAAAAAAAAAAGAATACTTGTCAGCCAAGGAATGGCTACTGAATACAAAATGGGAAGAAGGGACAGACAAAGTCAGGCATGGAAAGGACAATGTGGTCCACATATTCAGGAGAGTTTTCTAGAAAGGGATTTATGAGTCTCATACAGGTGTGATGTTAACACACATGTCAAAAACTTTAACTCACTAATTAATGAGAGAACTTATAAGGTGTCAAGATAAATTACAAAAAAGAAAAAAGAAAAAAAACACACGTTCACATACAATAAAGGAAGCTGGCATATAAGTTTAGAGTAGCTGAAAAAAAGTTGTTTATCCAAGGGCAATAATCAAGTGTATTTCAACAATTTTTCGCCTTTATAGCTAAAGAATCATTTGCATTATGGTGTGTTTTCTACAACTCACAAAGTTGCCCAACAGCTCAAAGATGACAAACCAGATGCCTAAACTAACTGTTCAGCCCACAATTCCTTTTCCTGTCTTTTATAAATGCTTTCAGCTCAGACAACAGTGATTCTCAGAGAGAGGTCTGTGTGAGTCAAGATGCAGGAAAACGTGCCATCTTGAACATACCTAGGCATTGGAGTCAACATGAGTTGCTATTTTATTGGAACTTTAGATGTGGAGGGGACCAGGAAGGAAATGTCTGTAAAAGGAATTTACAAAAAAATCCTGCATGGCAGGAGATGCCATCAACATGTGTTTGGCCACCTCAGCACAAGGTCCTAAGGTGCCAGTGGGCCCCACACTGTAGGGAGCAGCCAACTCAATCAATTCTGTTTGAAAGCCCATGACAGCAGAACAAAGGACGAGGATTAAAAAAGAAATAAAATTCATTCCCTTTAACTGGATTTTTTTCCCTCCTGCTAACCTCTCTATTACCTAGCGGCTCCCTGCAGTACACAACCCAGCTCACCAGAGGTAAGCCATGTGGAGTCTGGGGGAACCTCCCTTTTGGGGATGCATTATTCCCTTTCTGGATCACCAGACTGGAAAAGGTCTCAGTGGACCTGAGAGAGCGTAGAGGAAAGGAAAATAATGTGGAGGGAGTTTGGCCTCACTACCGAGAACTTCTGTCAAGCTCTCTAACAGTCAGTATTTCTGTGAGATAATCATTCTAGACCCACCTATATTTCCTTCCAGACATTTGATTCCATACTAGAAGTAATCTGGGTCTCAATCTTTGCTACATCTTCTGTTTATGTAACAGTCTCTGGTTTTCTCTACTGGACTTGTGTCACTGAGATCTTTTTAAAGACGTCCATAACCCACAATAAATATTCAAATATCAAAATGTTTCCTGAGAGAACTATGGCACCTGGCTCAAATGATTATCAGACACTGAGAACTAGCTGCTGGACATGAAGCCCTGGAACAACGGCGGAGAGGATGCTGGGACGCAGTGGGCTGGCTTCACAGCCAACCTGGATCGCTTCGGTCACAGCTCTGCACCTGGGAACGAAGCAGATCCACTGTCTGAGGATCCGGATCGTCACATCACACCTGTCAAGGTGATATCCCGCCAAAGTCCACTTCACAGCACCACTGATGGGGTGACACAGTTCCTAAATGGCCTTCCCTCTCTCTCATCCTACTTGTGGTCTACTGCCTGTCTCCTCACTCCATTCTCATAAATAGGGACTGAAATCAATCACCGGGTTTCAAATGTTCCCCAATGAACGTCTACCAGGACTACGATGCATTCCTTTTTTTTTTTTCTAAGAGATTTTTTTTTTTTAAGATTTGTTTATGCGTACAGAACTGGGGTATAGGCCAGGTGCAAGGGCGGTGAGAGGATTCACCAGAGACAGTGGGGAGCAGAACAGACATATCGGCTAAGTACAATGCTGAGGGGAGGAGCAGGCGGGTCAGGAGAGGTCTGCTGTACCATGTGGGTCACCTCCAGGGCGGGGATCAAACTCATGCTGAAGTGGCTTTAGCTTCTTAGTGCTGTGCTTTAACCTGCTGCACCACC